GTAACACAGTCCTCCTATGGAGGATTATATCCTGTTCGTGTTCAGGGAAGATGCCTTGAGACTGAAACAGGTGCGGAAAAGGTTTATGTGGACGGGCAGGAAATCTGTAACAAGAGGAAAGCAGAAGAATGTAGCTTGTTTATTGGTCTTGCAGAAGAATGACTGTGAGAAGATATTGTTCTCACGAATGTATCACAGGAAAAAAGATGTGGGAGGAAATATTAAAAGGACAATTTAGTCCTTAGCCTTAAATGTTTGTATGAATGGTTGTATAGAAAGTGGGCTGCAGAATAAGAAAAAAGCCTCTTGCTTGTAAGGCGTTGGAGAGAGCTGTAGGAGAATTTGTTGTCTGCAAATGTTTCTGGCAAAATACTTCAGATGATACAGCATACTTTCATAGAATATATCTTAAACTTGCTGGCATTCTGGAATTTAAAAATCTTGAGATGCTAGATTTAAAAGCAGAAACAAACCTTTTAACCTTTTAAGTTTTACCAACTTTGTAACCTCTTCCATTTGTTAGAAGTCCATGGTATATAACGGTAATTCTGTTCTCAGTCAGTGGTTAAAATTAGCTTTCTGTGAAATCAAATACTGTTGTGTACAGAAAACAGATCAGCTGATAATTCATAGCCCAGTGGTTGTGAAGTGTCTTGCACAGTGTGTAACTTTGTGATAACACAGTCTTTTGAATAATGTCTCTGGTGTATCTGGAGGTGTGCTGGCAGAGGGCACATTAGGAGCTCTTGGTGTTAGAGTTGATTTTCTGCTATCTGTGTCCATCTTGAATAAACAAACTTCAGAGATGAGGCTTTCCTTAAGCAAGCATAGGAAACACATGGGGATGCTCTTCAGAGAGAGAATTGATTGATCATTTCTGGATAATGAAAGCCTTTCAGATGTTTTTTTTTTCCCAAAAGTAAAATATGTTTATAAATGTAAATTTGCTAGTGTATCTTTTTAGTGTTCTTCCCAAAAGAATTGGTTTTCTGTCCAATTTTTTGAAGAGGTGCGGGACAGAGAGAGAAGGAACAAGAGCTGAGAAGTGTGCACATCAGTCATAAAGAGTACCCAGTTTTGTAAGAAAATAGAAAATTTTAGAGGTTCTTGGGAACTTTGGGGCATTTTTTCTTTATTTATTTATTTTTAAAAAAGAGGCTGAATTGCAACTGAGTTACATAAGAATGCAAGACTATTGCTTCTCTTATGCAGAAAATAAATTATAATCTGAGCAGAGTGCCGTGCAGTTTTTTGAACAGAACCACAGTTCTTGCATTAGGTGTCACCTCTTCTTACTGGGCCTGGCTGAGGTACTTGACACGCAAATACTGAATCATGAGAATGCATTTGGTAAGAGTCAAAGTCCTGATAGGAGTAGCTTTAATATTGTCTGAAAGGTGACTAAATTGGTTAAATCACCAGTGGATCACTTTAACTACCTGTATATTAATGAACTTGTTGAGAGTACAGTTAAAAAATGTCAGTTATTGAGCCAGAATGTTTAGGGGCTACTGTTAAATGCATCGGTTTGAATCAGTGAGTTTTGCAGTGCATTAATTACTTCAAAATTGAATTAAATCGAAATTGCTGACCTGGAGTTTGTGATAGCAGTGGAAGTTTAGCCACTGAGTAACAGCAGTGGTAGTATAAGGTTGGCAGGTTCAGCTTCGTCACTGGTGGAAAACTGTTGAAAAGGAACAGTTCATCTCAAAGTAAAGATTTTTAAATTGGATGTTGGATAAACAAACCAAGACAAGAAGTGTAAGTACTTTATAAAGATCCTCTGTACTTTGTACTGCCACGGCTGGAGGTGTACTCCCCAGCTCTCCAAATTCTAGTCCTGAGGCTTTTAGTTTGATCCTTCTTTTCACAAAACCCGGCCTGGGTTGCAGGAGCACATGTATCAAACTGTTATTTCCCACTGATTTGAGCAGGTTCACAGCTTGTGCAGCAAAGACTTTAGCAATAGCAATTTAATACTTTCCTGTCCCTTTCCTGCTTTATATGCAACCTGTTCTGTGTGTGTGCTATAAACCATTGCTGCCTCACTGAGAACATGTTAACCATCAAATTATTTCACCCACCCTCCAAAAAACTTTGCAAACATTAAGGAAGGCAATAAACCAGAAGGAAACATTCTCATATCCGTTCAAAGCGCACATTGCCATGCAGTTGTTACATCCAACAGCACTGACGTTTACCTGTGGTTGGAGACTGACCCACAGGTGCCATCAGTGCCTGCTGGCTCCTTCCCACCCGTGCCCCCTGCAGGGATTGTGGCAAGCGCAAGGTGGCTTCTGCCTGCCCAGTCCCAGGCACTGTATGGTTTATAAGTAGAGGAAGTGTGTGTGTGTGTTTTACTTCCCTCTGCAGTCTTTTTGCAGTATATGGATCTGATGTCTCTCATCTTAAAAAGATGTTAGATTAAAATCCTCATGTAAACTATGACTTGTTAAAATAAAAAAGTTGCACATGTTACGTGTCTAGCCAGTGTTACCAAATCTAGCCGTTCCCCTCACCAGTAAGCAGCATAGTGGGTAAGATACCTGTTTTGGTTTTGTTTTCCTCAAAGAAGGCAGCGTTCTTTAATTCTGAAGAAAAGAAAAATGAGAAGGTTGAGAAACATTATCTTAAACTTGAAAAAGAGCCATGGGAACAGTTCCATAGGATAGAGATCTTGGTACAAAATTGACAGGTCTATAGTTCTAGTGGTTCCAGCTGGGTGATTTTCAGTTTGTTTGGGTTTTTTAAGGATAGAGGCAGTGTGTACTATGCTTATTTTGCTTTCAGTTCAGGGAATTCTTTCAATTATTTATCTTTTTTTTTTAATATGTTTAAGAATAGCCATCCAATTTTTGGTTATTTATTATGATTTAATTTATTTATTTGTTCCAAGATTTTCTTTTTTGATACCTCAGTCTCTGGTAATGTTTTCATGGACTCCTGTTTTGTTTAGAAGTCTGAAGTATTTCTTAGCTATTTCTTTCAAATGTTGCACCTCTTCTGTAATAGCCATACCATTAGTTCATTGTTAAAGGAGGTGCTCAGTAGTATAAGTCAGCTTGTATGGTTCGAAACAGATTTGGGTTGGTGAACTGTTACAATTATGTTGTGCTGACTTCCCAGAACCATTGCAGGAGAAGTACGTGAATGATGTAGTTAAGGTAGATGAACCCTAGCATCTGTGGGAGGTGGGCAGACAGAAAGGGAAGTGATTAGATGAGTAGTACTCTGCTGTCCATGTCACTGTGGATTAGCATCAGGTAGCTTTTTCATGTCTTTGCCCCCCATGCCTTCGATATACCCAAAGATCACAAATTTTGTTCATTTTCCTGTTCATAGAAAATTTTCTTGCAGAATGTGAGACATCTAATGAATAAAAATTAATTTAAAATTAACAGATCTAGTATTTAGTTTGTCAGGTGTGAAAATTAGTAATCTTTGAAGTGCAGGCAAGTGAGCTAGTTCATGGAAGCTGGTTTGTGTGTTACTTCTACCAGATGGTAAATGTGAGGTAACTCCTCTTTGAGCAGGTCACGGAGGCAGGTAATGCATACCATAAATAGTGTCCTCTCTTCACAGCCTGAGGAAAAACATGTTAATAATAGCCATTAAAATAGAGAATGAACTGAAAAACAAACCTTGACATTGCATTCAGCTTGTTCCTTCTAGTAGTATTGTCTGTGGGCTGGAAAAGATTGTAGACCACTAGGTTATGTCCTCCTGGTTTGGAGTGCTTCATGTGAAATGTCTCAGTGGAAAGTGGAATGTGTTGGTTTCAGAAGTAGACAGCTTTATAAAGGGAGATTTCTGTGGCTGAAACAAGAGTTTCATAATAGAAGGCACTGGAGTACGTCTGTGCAGGGATCCACCACCATCTTTGGGATAGAAAGTAGTTAACATTTTTGTTTCACATCTTTCTCTGTTCTCCAATAGATGGAATTAAGTTGCTTGACTGGAATAAGGTTGTGTGCCTGTGTGTTTATATACATGTGTACGCAATTTACACCTTTTTGAACTTCTGTTTTGAATTTGGTGAAAGCTGTGGTCACTATTCTTTCAAAAAACAATTTCATCATCCAAATCTTAGTCCTGTGAGAAGTCTAAGGTATACCTGGAAGTCCCCATATACCCCACAATTTATCTGGTCTCACAGAATTCCATGCTAATAATTCAAGTGTATCTGTGATGGCTGAAGCTAATCTGGAGGACTTTTCAGTATCAAGGTATACTTTTAGTTCTTGTTTCCACAGAGGCGGCCAGGAAGGCCCTGCTTTCATATGTCTGGGTGTTCACTATGAACTTTTAAGTATGAACAGTTCAGGCAGACAGCTGAAATGTAGTTTGTTACTGTAAAGATGTTCAGCTAGATAGTAGATGATGTGAACCCTTCAGATTTTGTTTCTCCAGTGCTCTCCATCAATCTACTGTAAAGGCTGACAATGATGAAGAACAGTTTTCAAACTTTTTGGAGTTGGGTGAACATTTCTTCTTACTGCTACTGTGTCTGAGAAAACACCTGAAGTATTTAAGTCCTGCTGAGGCTTACTAGTGCGATGCTGGTATGATACAATCCACTGATTCTTCTTAGGGTTGGTTGTTTATTATGGAGTGAAAATTAATGACTTATATCCTCCCTTTTGTGCGGAAGGCGTGGGAGAAGGAGGAATGCTTCATGGCCCATGAACTGGGTTTCATGCCGTGTTATTAAAGGCCATTCTGTTGATGGAAGCGGTTTGCTGCCTGATTTTTTTTTTTTCTGTCTCATGATAAAAGTGTTTGAGTGCCTGTATTGCATTTACATGGCAAGATTTTGGGAGCAGGGGGGCTGCAGGAATGGTTTCTGTGAGAAGACACCAGAAGTTGCCCAATGTCAGACAGAGCCAGTTCCAGCTGGCTGCAAGTTGGACCCGCTGCTGTCCAAAGCTGAGCCATCAGCAATGCTGGTCATGCCTCTGTGATAACATAGTTAAGAACAGTTAAAAAATGCTTTATCACAGGATAGCTGTGTGAGAAAGGAGTGCGAAAAATGTGAGAGAAACAGTCCTGCAGATGCCAGGGTCAGTGAAGGACAGGGAGGAGGTGTTCCAGATGCTGGAGCAGAGGTTGCCCTGCAGCCTGTGGAGAAGAGCATGGTGAAGCAGGTTGTCCCCCTGCAGCCCATGGAGGACACCATGCTGCAGCAGATGGGTGTGTGCAAAGCTGCAGCCCATGGAGAGCCCACACTACATGCCAGGCTCCTGGCAGGAACTGTGGCACCTGGAGAGGAGCCCATGCTGGAGCTGTCTGTTCCTGAAGGACTGTACCCCATAATGCAAGCCCGTGCCAGAGCAGTTCATGAAGAACTGCAGCCCATGGAAGGACCCATGCTGGAGAAGTTCATTCAGGACTGTAACCCATAGGAGAGACCCTCGCTGGAGCAGAGGATGAGTGTGAGAAGGGAGGAGTGGCAGAGATGAAGTGTTTATGGACTCACCACAGCTCCCATTCCCCATCCCCCCCCTGTGCCACTGTGGGAGGCTGGGGCCAGGAGAGGAAGCGAGAGTCATGAGTGAAGTTGAGCCTGGGAAAAGGGGGATGGGAGGAAGGTAATTTTAGTTTTGTTATTATTTCTTCCTATCCTACTGTGTTATTAACTAGCAATAAATTGATTTCCCCAAGTCGAGCCTGTGTTGCTTGTGACAGTGACTGGTGACTGATCTCCCCATCCTTATCTTGACCCATTACCTTTTTCATTGTGTTTCCTCTCCCTGTCCTGCTGAGGTGAGGAGCGATAGAACACCTAGTGACCAGCTGAGATCAACCCATCGGAGTCCTAAGTCTGGTCCTACTTACATGGAGGTCTGCAGGAAGAATCCGGTTGTTTTACAATAGGTTTTTAGGGAGTATCGCGTACTTCCACACCAGGCTGATCTTCAGTATGTAAACAGAGCCTCCTCAGAAACCAATTCTGCCAGTCTTAACTCCAAACTGTTGTCCTAAAGAGGAAGAAATAGAAGATAAAGGAGAAAATAGAATGTTTTATTTTGCCACCTAAGGGCAACTGTGATAAGACAGCTGTATCAGCCGACTCAACTTACTCTTTATTCTTCCAGGCTTGTGATAATTGTTTTGATCATTTGCAGAGAAATTTCATTTGTCTCTTTTGAATTGGAGTGTGCCACAGAGCTAATCATGAGAATACGCTTCAATTTACTGAGTTATTGTTACCCTTTTGCTCCCTCCTTCCCCCACCTTTGGTTAACTTTGGGTAAGGAAGCAGAAAACTCTGAAGTGACATTTCCTCAAAGCTTTGGTGTCTGGGAGAGGTCGCTTATGCTGTTCAATTGCTTACCTGAGAAGAGATGTAGGATGCATGTTTCTTACACTAAAAGCAAGCTATGTATTCCATAATCGTGTGGCAGATGAAATGTAGTAGAGTGGCAGATGAGGGTTGTTGGGGAGGCATAAGTTTCTAAGCAGGGTCTTTGTCACATGTATCTTCTAACTTTTCATGCCGCTTTTGTTTGAAATAGGACAAATGTTGCTATAAGGACAGAGAACTCAAGGATATCTCAGGTTCTTACATTGTCTGTAGGAAGGTTGGGGGAAAACACTTGAGTATTGTTATTTCAGAACAGACATTTTGAGGGTAAGATCTTGACCTCGTTAGAAATCAGTGTATATGTTTGCTTCTTGCAGTAATGATTGCAAGTGAGTAGCCTCATTTGTCGTATTTTGAAAACTAGAGTGGGAAATGGATTCACAGAACTGCGGGGGATTGTAAAGTGTTCCTTCCTACTTCTGTCCTTTTATGTGCTGTGAAGGGTCTCTGAAAGGAGGAAACAGCTGAGTGACAGCGTTACAGGGTATTGGCCAAGTCTGTGAGACCAGGACCCCCTCTAGTGGCGACACTTCTGCCAGACTCCACAAGGTGCTGTTCTCAGCCTCTGGGTCTCCTTCTGTCCTGGGTTGTTCTTTTATTTTCTCCCTGTAAACCCCACATTTAGATCTTCTCTGATAACTGTGGTGAATACGTAGGATTGCTTACTACAGTTGTTGCTTTCACAAGGAATAAATTGGGTTCATTCTGACCATCTATGACACAGAGAAGACAGCGTTGTGTTGTATATCATTAGTGTTAGCTCTTTAACTTGCCTACATATTATAATGCTATGTCAAGATGTGGAATAGGGAAGAATCAGGGAATTCACATACACAGTGATAAAGGTGAAATTTTTAATGTGTTGAATCATAGTAATGATAAAAAAAGTGGATGCAAAGGTACACAGGATCATACAGAATTGTCATGTATAATCACTTTGAAATTTGCTACACCTGTAGTGTAATCTTAATTTGTCTCTGGCTTTGAGGTAGAGATTTTTAATGTTAATTCTTAAGTTAACGGTGAGAGACAAATGGACAAGAAAGATGTGCTGACAGTGTTCCAGAAAGAAGTGCTTAGCAAGTGTGTGAAACAGCAGTTGCTTCATATTCTGTTCAGAATATTTTTCTTGCAGTGTCTGTACATTTTTATGTCAAACGGCCTGGGATAGATGCCCTTTCTACGTGTTTCAAGTCAGCAGTCGTACATACAGACTGAGCAGTGTTGATCAGTGTCTAAATGTTACTGTTCTGTGTTACTGCATCAGTAATGATGACTTTCTCAGGCATCAGCATTGAAGCTACTTTTTTCCTCAATCTGTTACAAGTTGTAGTTTCCCAGTGAAAAACCCTGAGTCCATGCACTACTATGTTGCATATTTTCTTACATGAAAGCAGAATTGTTTTTAGTATATTGGGCATTCTTTGCCTTCTGTTACTTCTTGTCCTGTCTGCTATATAACTTAAATAGTACACCTTTTGAAGAAATGCTATACATTCTTTATGGCTCAATTGTCACAAACAAACCAGAATGTGTTTGACACCAGAGTCTGTGGAGGTCTTTGCTGCCTCTTTTTTGTTTCTGTAGCATCGCTGTGGGTAGCAGTTGCTGACTGCAGTAAAAGCTGACTGTGCATCCAGGACATTGTTCATTGATATTGGCAGATGGAGAGGACAAGGAGTTGAGACAAGGTGTGCCGCTATGCCAGGTAATGACAAGCTGTAGGGCATAGCTTAAAGGTACCTAGCACTGAATAGTTGCACCACAATGTTTTCTTGACTATTATATTGCATTTGACCTCTTCAGGAGCTGGAAGGCTGCTATAAAGTCTTCCTGGAGCCTTCTCTTCTCCAGGCTGAACAGCCCCAGCTCTTTCAGTCAGTCCTCCATTTCAAAACTCAGTATCAAACACAGAAATTTCTTCTAAGATCTTTCTCTGTCTCTCAAAAATTTCCTGCTCAATGGTGGATAGATGCTTACTAGCATAATTCCAACTTTTGTCCCTTGTAGGTTTGTAATTTATAGTGAATTTTTCTGTAATCTAAAAAATTTGCATAACTGCTTTTTGATAATACTGCTTTCATTAAAATTCTTGGCTAAGATATGTGATATAGTAATGCATATGCATATCTGTTTAGTGAATTGCTCTTCTTACTTAAAGGCTTAAACGGTTTAGCTCTCCCATGAATAGTCTGATTTTGGTTTAAAAATGTATTAATAACTGGTATTTAAGAATGTATTGTTAACTTGAAGGTAGGAAAATTGGAGCCTTTTGGTAACTTAGCTGTGAAAAATGTAACTATGTGTCTTCTAAGTATGATTCTGGTTATTTTGACAATGGCATTTTGGTTTCTGCAGTAGAAGTTTTTTATACCAGGTATATGTTTTTGGTGACTGTTGGTAGTCTGCCTATAAAACAAAAAAGTCTGACTAAAAAGTCAGAAAGGTCCTAGGCAGCAGTGAAACTTCATTGTGGTAGGAGTTTTCAGAGCTATAGGAATGGAAAGGTTTTGCCCCAAGGATGGGGTTGGTTATTACTGGTGTGATGGCAGCATGGACCCTGACCGTGACACCAAACAAGGCATTGGAGTCTTCTGTTAAATGCTTTTTTACCAGTCTGAAGTCCTTGCTTTTTATTGTTTGCTGCCAGCTAAGGAAGTGCTTCTTCTGTGTAGTTCCTGTCTAGCTTCCAGCATAGTAACATTTCTCATACAAAAGCCGTGCCATTGTGCCAGAATTGTGCTGACTCCTTTAAAGATCAAGAATCAATCTAATATTTTTCTGCACTGGCTTGCTTTTTTTGTGTGTTCTGTTACTTTATTTTGGAGTTTTAACAAACTTGTTCTTGGCAGGAAAGGATGAAGCGAAACCAGATGTAGTTTCAAAACGTCTTGATGTCACAAATAATGAAGAGTGTATTTCATTTAAGACAAAAAGCTCACTCCAGCCTATGGCCTCCCTCCCGTGTTTGTTTATATTTGTGTCACCTATTTCATAATGGAAGTTGTACCTCAGGTCAAACCTACCTATACTGTCTTGGCAACCATGAAATGTGCTTCTGCCATCATAGCTTTATTAATTTGTTAGATCTCCTTTGTGTGAGATAGTATAAGCAAATAATCAAAATTCCTTTAGACACCAGCAAATTCCATCCCTCTGTTCATTTCCATTTCTGTAGCAAAAGCTAATCTGTACATTAACTTCCATTATTTTTAATTATCTTGGAGCGTTATTCTTCATATTAATGAAGCAAGGGTGATACGAATCTTAGTGATTTGGGAAGTGTAGATTTAACAAATTACAGCAAGAAAGTAAATTTGCCAACTAATTATTTCTGTATTTGAGAAATATTTTCAGAAGTTGTTTAAAATTTTAGTTTCTGCTCTCTTCTTTTTCCCAAAATAATGAACTCAAGAAAGGCTTTGCAAAACGTTTTTCAAGAAATTTTTATGAATGGTGACGGATGCGAGATACATGCAGAGTTTTTCTCGGTGTATTCAAAAGGTTCTGCCGTTTCGTTATGGCGTCACCCTTGTATTTCATTCTAGAACTTAAATACCAGAGTAGACCTGAAATGTATACGCAGTAATTGTAAGATGCAGTAATGTGAGGCAAAAGTACCTTCATATAAAGTAATATCAGAATAATCATGTGAATTTCAGAGGTTTCCATAGATGTTTCCATATGTTTTTAAGGTATGGTGTAAAATTGTTATGCAGGCTGTTTTCCTTACTTTTCATTTCTGAGGATACAGTCTTTTCTATATGGAATTTTCAGAGACATCTGAAAGCTGTAAGGCTTCCTTCACAGCTGCATCATGTTCAGAGGCTCCCATTCATTCTAGGATTGAATAAAAAATAATATTTTTTTAAATTTTGCTTTCATTTAATTGGGGAAGTCTGTTTTTTGGCAAAAAATATTACTAGTAGTTAAAAAAATGTGGCAAGCATTCTGTATGTCTGATTCCATTACAGTAGTCTGTTTCTCAAAGACATTCGAATTAAATATTAATTACACTTATCAGTAAATTATAGTAGCAAACTGCTGCTTTTTCTATTAAATTATGATATTAAATGAAATACAGGTTTTTATTCCCCTGCCTTATGCTGTGCATAGAATTAGGTTTTTATTATTTAGGATACCAGTGTTGAAATTATCTTAAACTGTGATAACTAGACAATAACAGTGATAACTGGAGAACAACAAATAATGGACTATCTTTGTTGTAAGTTAATTCTTGAATTCCTTTGTTCTGTACATAGCGTGTCCTGCAACCCATGGTCTTGAGGATGACATGAAGGAATTTCTGTTATCTCTGGTTTTCTTTTGTTTTGTCCTTCTTCATACTAACTGAATTGGTGTCCTTGAGAACAAAGGATAGTAATAAAATCTAAAAAATAATAATAATATATAATTTTAAAAAAGCATTTTACTGTCATAGTAATGCCTGTTACAGAAGCAGGGTCCACTAGTTACTGTTCCACTTTTTTGAGGTACTAGAATTTTTCAAGGGTAAGTCAAAAGTTGTGGCACCAGTCCCTTTTATTTGATATCAAGGTAAATGAGAACAGGCATGAAGATGGAGTTGAGGTAGAAGGCTGCAGTTTGAGTAGCTTGAGAAGAAGTAAGATTTTTGTGTTCACAGTTTTTGATTTGTGTATCACTTGAGAAGGATCAGATGAAGGATGAGATGTCACTCTCCGGGTACCATCCAGTGCCACGCAGGTTGTCTTCAGCCTGGGCCAGTTCAGTTCACTCTTACAGATCTTGCTGCTGCTTCCTCTTCAGAGGAGGAAATGAACAGCGTGTACGTGATGTCACCCCAGAAAAGCATGATTTTAAAAAAGGGGAAGGTTTTATTTGAAATCACATTGTATTTGCATGACTGAAAAAGTTATAGTATGGCAGTCCTCTGTTAATATCTGGTAATAAACATAGCTAAGAAAGCAGTAGGAGAGGGCACTAGCAGTAATTTTATTGGAATGCCATGTTAGTAAACAAGTGCTCCTGTGACAAATAGAAAATAGCAGAGGATTAAAGCACTAAAACGGAGGAACACTGAGGAGCTTTCTTCCCCTTTGAACGAGTAGTAACTTTTTTTTTTTAGTAATAACTTTAGTTTGATGGCAGAAGTGAAAGAAAGGAGAAGCTGAGGTAATGCTGCATCTGACTGCCATCAAAGCCTGGGAAGAGAAAGCAGAGCAGTTAAAGCATTGCTGTAACTTAGAAGTGGGTAATTTTGGCTGAGGTGCTTCATTCAGCCATGCTGCCATTTGGGTCAGCAGGGCTGCTCTCGGTTACTGCGCTCGCAGTCTTGGTAGAGGATGGAATAAGGAAACCAGTTTTTGGTTGGAAATGAAGTGAAGCAGAGCAGAATCTGACAAGGGGAATGGAGTGCACTGAATTTCAGCTCACATTGCAAGAGATGGGAACAAAAATTAAAATGATAAAAACCTTTCTACTGATGATAGTTTTCAACTCAAGCTGTGCCTCTGCACAGCAAACTGACAAGTCTGGAACTGTGAAGGAAGAAAGATCTTTAGGCTTTTGCTTGTTTGTTTGCAAAAGCAAAAAATTATGGCTCTAAAGAGAGGAGTCAAATCATCAGCACTCTAGAAAAGTGTCTCCTATTCTTTGGCCGCTTTTCCATTTTGTAGTTTAAGAAAGTAAGCTTCAAAATAAGCATTGAAGGATCATGGAGGAGGCTTAAAATAGCAGCAGTGCAGAAGTGAGGAGATAATTAAATTCCCTTTTTTCCTTGTATCCTTCCCATCAGTCACGTCACTTTTTTCATAGGTACGTTCCTCTTCTTTCTACTTAGAACAGATCACCGTTCTTCAGGGCAGGTCACCTGTCTGATGGTATGGGTAGGTGACGTCTGTGCAGTTTCTGACAGTAAAGGATGTTTGTTCTGCAACACTGTTTAAACATTTCTTTGAACCCAGTTAATTCAGTTACACGGTGGCATACATTATTATTTTATGACTTGAGCTCACATCAGTGATACGATATTATGATACTTCATTTTTCATACTCTGGTAGTTAAGGAACAAAGCTCAGTAACATTTCTTCCTACTGATTTTCCTTTGTCTCTGTGTGCTTAAAATGAGAAATAAAGAATGAATAACTGGTTGAAAATCAAAAGCTTTTGTTCTGTCGGTGCAAGCACTCACTTGGGGGATTGGAATCCATCACTGTTGTCTTGTGTGTAGTATTCTATGTATCAAATCCATCCCTGAAGGTCTTCACCATTTTTATGGGTAACATTCTGTCATAATTGATATCTAGGAAATACAGGTCAGTTTGAAGAGTTACCCAAATAACATTAATTTCTTTAAACAATTAAAAAAAGATATAATCCTTGTTGTTTGTTTTCTCCAAATACTGTCATTATTTACAGATGTCAGCGCTGGAATCTAAACTTAGTTCTGTTTGCAAGTGTTTCCTCAACATATTGTATCCTGCAAATGATTACTTTTTATTAGACCGAATAAATGTTAATTGAGTGTTTGCTCTTTTATACGCAGTCTGTTCCATTTCAAGATTGTGAAGGTTAGCGCTAGTTTTATTTTGAGTAATAAAAACATTGGCTTAATTTGCCGTCTTACTGTAGGATTACATTCATTAATTAATTTTAATAAAGAAACATAGTTGTTCAAAGTATGCATTTCTGATGGGTCAAAAAATATGTGCCTTCTCTTTTTATCTCCTCAGATTTATCCAAGAATAGATTAACTGAGGTTCCTACGGAATTGTGCCATTTTGTGTCACTGGAAATGCTAAATCTATACCACAATTGTATTAAAATTATACCAGATGCCATAGTAAACTTGCAAATGCTAACTTACTTAAATTTGAGGTAAGTTTAACTTTGACACATTTTTTGTTTATTTGTAAATGTGTTAAGAGTATTGTCTGCACTTTATATGTTGCTGGAACAACTGACTACATTTTTCATTTTATTGGAAGCTGTAGTGCAGAAACTCATTGGCTGTAGATACTGCTCTGTATGAAGGCATTGTAAGGATCATAATGTAAAACTAATTCTTTAAAGAGCAAGTAATAGTAATCCTTTTCTTTCCCGTATTTTTCTATCAAATTCAGAATGGTGAGGCACATCAGCACAGTCAGATTCTTTTAATTCCCTTCTGATGATAATTTTTTTGAAACTGGATGTACTTCACAGAATCACAGGAATAGAGTACTTCTTGGAGACTTCTTTAACTGCAAGAGTACTTCCTGTAGTTAAAAAGCTGGAGGGACAGAGGCAGTGGATGAAGGGCTTTCTTCATGAGGAATGGAGAAGAAAAGCATGATATTTTATCACTAGTATCCACTTTATTATGCAAGAGGTATAGTTACTGCCTTTTTAAGAGCAAAGAATTAGGTACCTCTTTTCCATGAAAAATGTGGATGAATGCTAACTGGTGCAGAGAGCTGCTACTGGTTTAAGTGCAGGTGAATGCGTATTTGCTTTTGAGAGAGGGAATGTCAGCACTTTTTTCAGTTGGGATGAGCTGTTGAAGTTTATTTGCAGTTGTGTACGTAACAACTGCAATAGTGAAGATCTAATAATATGGTCTTGGCAAGAATGAAATTTGGGCAGGGGGCAGTGTGGTTTTTGGGCTTTTAAATTCAAGGTACAGAGGCTTGATCATCAGTTTTGTAAACACTGAGGGTATTTCGCAAGCCTGAGTATTTGCACACTTGTAAGGAATAGGACTTGAAGTTTAGAAATAGTGTTGGTTTGAGATACATAAAGAAATTAAGACTGGATGAAATGAGTAAGTTTGCATAAAACATCTTAGTAAATTTAGGAATTAGAATGAACTCAATTAAAACTTGATGTAGTGAACTATTGAATTAGAACTCAATGTAGTGGTGGAATTTGTGTGAATCATGACAAATCCAGAATAGTGGCAGAGTTAATATCACATAAATTAAACAATCAAAACAAAAGGGATTTTTTTCAAGTTTTAATAAATAAGGTAATTTTCTGTAGTTTAAGATCTCTTCTTCCCTTGGATATGCCCTTCTCCTGTGTTACTTGAATACCGTTAAGAAGTCTGTAGAAGAAGGAAAGATATCCTTGACTTGCTGACCATGTTGCTTGTTGGCAAGAAAAGTATTATAGATTTAAAATGAATATATTTTCTGCTTGTTACCAGCAGAGTCCATATGCTAAACAGAATTAGAAAGTGAGGCCAAGAGATATACATAGCCTCTAGCCCTTCCTGGATACTGTTCATGTTTTGTTTAAAGAAATTCCTTTTAAACTAATGATGATTTATTACTCACTTGCCCTGGTTGTGTGCTGTTCCTTATCTGTTAGGGCGTTGCTTCTGAGTTCTATAGAAGTTAAAAATTGTTTTTACTTTTTTGCATGTTTGATCTGCTGCATAGTGTAACTTTTAGATTCTAGGATTCCTCATTTTGAGTTCTTTAGAACTTAAAAATGTATTTCTACTTATTTTTTAGAATAAGTTATGTCTTGGCCTTCTGTAAAGACACTAAAATTGATGCTCCTGACTCCACAATAAGCATTGATTCTTTTCTTTTTGCCAGGTACTGCTGGTTAGTAGCTGAATTTCTCAGTTTTAATACCCTTGGGTTTGTTATTTCATACCCATGTGTCTCGCAGCCTGTGTAACAGACATGATGATAGTTTACAGTGTAAAACATTTTGAGACTGTTGTGTGGAACATGGATATACGCCTTTATATGCAGTTTTGTAGCAGACCGTTGAATTGGCAGTTGAAGAAGAAATGTTTTGAGACTTGAAGAATTATGATTTTTGTTTCCCTTTGTTTCAAATCAATATTGCAGTGTTTACTGAAATGGCACAGGACAATTTTTACTGTCTGTTTTCAGAGTTGAGTCATGCATATTTGTTCTCTGGAGCCTTCAAAATTATACAGAAGTGAACTAAAATGGTTCTTACTGGGATGCTGCTTTAGATTACTGCTCGTTGTTTTCCTACAGGTTAATGTCTGTAAAAAAGAAAACGTTATATTTTAAGAAAACCTTCAAGGACAGACAGTAGTTAATATGTTGTTCTGTTGAGCTTAAAGTTTCTTCTGGGAGTTGACCCACAGTTCTCAATAAATTAATATTTTTAATCACTTGGAAATCACAAAGAGTCACAGCATTTGTCATCTTTACGTTGTAGCTTTTTAAGTGATTGGTACGGGAATGAGAAGAAATCTTTTGGAAGTATTCCACCAAATTTTGCCTTTCCGTGCAAGTCCTCTTCATGAAAATCTTCTGCTTCTGATTAATATAATAGAATCATAGAACAAGTACCGAGTAATCTTCAACTAGAAGTGTGCTTTAAAATAATTGAGAAAATAACCATTTTCTCTGTGAGTTATTTATCAGTCTTTCAGTTGGAACAGAAGACATTCACTATACTTCCACATAAAACTATAGGAATGTTTAAATACTTGCAAAATATTGTCTCAATTGGCTTTCTTGTATTTGTTAGGAAGGGAAACAGCTGCTCTAGGTGACAACCAGACTTGTTACAATATTATTAAACTGATATAATGCATTTTTTCCGGAGTGGTAATATTTCACAATACTGTTTAGGCAGTAATGCAGATATTTTTGGTGTGCAAGTGTTTTCTTTATGAATTCTATTTGAAAATTTAAATTTTAGCTGCACAAAATCTGACCCATCTAAATGAAGGAATTTCACAACTCTCAGACTTTGTGAGTATATAGCAGAAAGTCACTGGGGTTTTTAATGATTGGGGGGGGTTTTTGTTTGTTTCGTTGCAGTCGAAATCAGCTTTCATCTTTGCCAGCTTGCCTGTGTGGTCTTCCTCTAAAAGTCTTAATTGCAAGTAACAATAAGCTCTGTTCCCTTCCGGAAGAGATAGGTCAACTAAAACAGTTAATGGAGCTGGTATGTTACTGAACTTTCTTATTTTGTATTTTGACTTCATTTGTATTTCACTAGAAACAGTAAAATTCACTTTGCAAATATATTTGAACAAATGCCTAGTACTTTAATGCAGGTTAAAAAATTTACTTTTGAACTTCTCAAGTGTGTTGAGTAATAACATCCTTTATGTTCTTTAAGACCCTTCTGAACAGCATCACTACCTTTGGTTCATTCAAAACTCAGCTTCCAAGTTCATCTTTTTTATCTGTTTTACTTACAGCCTGTTTTGCTTTATCGAGTTCATAATTCTGGCATCAGGCTCTGCAAAGCCTGCCTCCCCTTCTGCTGCCTTTCATTACTATTTGCTTTCCACATTCCATTCCACTACTGATACTGGTTTTAGCAGTCTGTTTTTGTTTTATTTCACGGTTTTTGTCATGCAACCTTTCTTTTCTGGAGCACACATTTAAGCAGATTTACAGAATGATTGTATTCCTCTTGTCTTCAAAGCTCTCCAGATGATTACTGTTTCTGCAAGCAGTTGATCATCTATAATGTATTGTCTAGTAAATGAGAATCTGAAAAGGCAAAAATTATTTGGTACTTTAACTTCAAATCAAATTAATTGCACACGTTTTCTCTAAAGTTTGTATGCGGAAAATATATATAAGAGAATGCTTCCCTTTCTCTCCCTTTATCTTCCTGGTTTGTGTAGTAGGCTGAGACTCTGAATTCTCTATGACATCTGTGTTATGTCTTCTGGTTATTTCGGTTCACCTTGACCTCTTACGGTACAAAATGACAAACAAACTACATTGTGACACTGCTAACTTATACAGTGATATTTGAACTCTTTTCCAACTGCTGATATTTCCATTCACTGCATTTATCCCACACATCTTTTTGCTATCTGAAAGTGCCTGCTTATTGTAGTATTATTTTTATAACAATAGACTTGCTACTAAATTAGGTTACAGAAATTGAGCTGTCCCTGCTTTAGGCTCCAGTCCTGCTACTGTTTTTTCATTTGTGAAGTGAAGTGGCAGCTGTGGGGCTTTATTCCTTGTAGCATTCTTTCTGTACAGCATCCTGTAGTATCAGGCTTCTGTTATGTATTACAATTGATCTGGCTGTTCATGAGGATTGGGGAGTAGTTACCTTTTCCTTTCTGCATTATACCTGAACTAAAGACTGCCAAGTTTTTGTTTTGTTTGGTGAGCATTATTAATTTATCTTATCAAATAGTTGGGGGTGTGATGGGTTTAATTAGGTTACTGAAATGGTTTTGTTTTGATTAACCTTCAAAAAATGTGTTGGGCTATAGCATTGTTTCTGTTGTGCTTAAAATAGATTCAATAGAAGATTATAGTTTCCGTTTTAGATATAATTAAAGTTGAACAGTATTAAACACATTCTAATTTAGGGGGTAGGATGACTGAATAGGTAATAAAGATTGGAATCTGTTCGCTCCTGAGTGCTTCTAGTTAAAAGTAGCCTAGCTTAGTGGTGGGAGGGCTCATGTGAAATAATTAAAAGACTCGGCCTGATCCTATCTGGTCAAAACCACCCATTTTGTTTGTATTAACTAAGTTCTGTGATAATATTTTCAGTAAAGAGCTGCTGAAATTGTTTTGTACCTAATTTCTTCTCCGATTTCAAGTTTGCACCCTCTCAGTGAGGTGAACTGGCATTGCTGATGCTGAAAGTGTTTCATTTGTTAGTAAGAGTTTGTACTGAGCTTAACAATAGCCCTTATCATTACTTTGCAATTTTGAAAAGTTAAAAACTAAAAGCTTGAAAAATCAATGTAGATTATACTCAAGGGAGAGATGGTTTGGTGTTTTTTTTTAAAACAAATCATATGTTTAAATGAACTACTGGAATACTGGATTTTCATATTGCTTTCCAGTTACAGTATAATTTCAGTGTTACTCTTTGCCATGAAGAACACAGTTCCTGCTCTAAAAATATATCAAGTGAGAGGCTACAGCAACAGGGCACTTTGGTAGCCTAGAAGAATTGCGAAAGCTGAGGAAGGCCTGGTGCTTGTTCTTTGTGATTAGAAGGGGGGAAGAGGGGAAGGTGGGGAGTGAGTAACAAGTTTTTGTTAAATTGGGTATGGTTCTGTTCAGATGACCTGATTGCTTAGTTTGATGCCACTGTAAGTGCTTGGTACATTTCCAGTGCAATGAGTTGCATTATTTAGCTGGAAATTACTAAACTGTGATGTACTGGGAGAAGCAAATAGAGGTAGGATTGAGAGCCAGTATCTGTATTGGCATATGTAATATAATGCAGTTTAGATAATACAGTTATCATTGTTCTAAAACAAGTATAAAAAGAAAAAAAGAAAGATTAAGTCATGCTGCAGTTGTTGCACAAAACATGCAGCTGTGTGAGAGCAATGCCAGCCTGAGCACCTAGTGACCTTCAAGCACCACCACCCCCCAGCCCTCTGGCGGGGCGTGCTGCTGTTTTGGGAACCACCACAGTGCTGGTGCGGAACTGGCCCAGGGGATCGGTCCTGCGAAGTGACAGATGCCACCTGATTGCATTCAGTTCCTGCATTATTAGGACTCTGTCAAGCACACTTGGGTTTTCAAGGTGTTTTGCAGCTTTTCACAGGCTGCATGTAGTAAAATCCCTGTGTGTGCAGCAAATGTTTTTTTTTTAAATTGTTACTTAACTTTTGAAAATAAATTTTACCTTTGTAATCAGTCTTGAATGATACAAGCATAAATTGCTTCAAGTTAGGTCAGATCTTTCCAACTTACTACTTTCTTCCCACTCTCCTCCAAAATGGGGTAGCCAGTTCTTTTTCTTTACATGCATGTATTTATATAAGTTTCACACTTGTGGCATAGAATGGCTTAGATACTACATGTAGTAAATTTTCAAGTCTTCTTTTAAATTTTAGGGTTCTGGGTTACATAGATCTGACATGTATCTTACAAGCATCAAAATAGCATAGAAATTATTCTCCCAGCAGGACATTTTACAATTATTTGCAAAATTTGGTTGTGAAGCTAACTTTAATTGGCAGCTGCCTAACTCCATCATACTTCTACTGTCAGCCAGGAAGATGAGTGCAAAACTGGTGTGAAGATAATCTGAGCCTTACTTTCCACCAAAGAAAAGTAATTGGGCAGATATGACTCATTAATTGCCCCCAAAACTATTAGATTTATAGTAGAATTCTGCTCTCCGTCCTGTCAGGCAGTATTGCTCTTCTGCCTTCTCCAGAGAGTGGTTTTCTCTGTCTCCTGTCTCACGTTGGAAGCCTTTAAATCTCTGAGCAGAGATGTAGGTCCTTCCCCTCTAACCTGGGCCAGCAGCCTGACCAAGTGGAAGCTCCTACCTTCTGTTACCCAAAGGATCCATGTGCTCATGCACTGTGTAGCTTACTTTTACCATTTAGTATGGCTTGGATGTCAAGCTCTGACAGAATCCATGTGCTTCTTAGGAATAACAACTCAGTCAGAAGTCTGAAGCTTTAAAATGGGTGTAAGGAGAAAGTTTGTCAGTAAAAAACATGTTAATGTGGAGATGGAGTACCATATTTTGGTTTTATATTATGCTGAATTTTATTGGTCTGAGACCCTTTAAACTTTACTGTAAGCAAAAGAAAAATGTTGCTGATTTTTATTACTTTTCATGCCATTGAGCTTCATACTAGAGAAATTAATGTTAAATTTAAATACGCCTGACATTTCTCTAATCTTGAGAAGTTGCGTCTGTGCTGTCATGGCAGGATGAAATAGAATTAATGCAAGAAATCTGACCTTCAGCAAATACCATCCCCTGGAACTTGAGTAGGTGTTTGGACTTCACTTCAGCTGTCTGCAGATATCCATGAAGCGAGTTCCAAGCTGCTAGTTACCTAGTTCCTTTAAACAAATTATAAGCCTGAAAACCATAGGCATTTGGCATTAATAGTGTTTCTTCCAATAGTACCAAAGTAATGGGAAAGATAAACACTGTCTCTGTCACATGCACACTCATGAAGTCTAATAATAGTCAAGAGCATAACTGGAAATAGTGTTGTATGTCTTTGTTTTCCAAAGCTGGTCAAACAAAGTAATAAAAAAGTGTTAGTAGGATAAAGGATACTGCTGTCTCTAGAGATCTTGTGAATGCTGACATGCTGTCATAACAGCTCAGTCTTACTGAGGATGTTTTGAAAGGTTGTAAGGTTTTGAGGCTACACACTGCCAGGTTGTTGGTTTTTTTCCACTTCCTCTCAGATTTGCTTTTTCCCTGACTTGTTCTGATGTGTGTGCATAAGTACACTGGTATGAGTACTTGGTTGAGCGTTTCTCTGCCACAAGGTGACTTTAAATTCTGTGCTCTAAAAAGCAAAGATCTAATTATGAAGTTTTTTAAAGTCTGTAAATTAAAAATAGGACAGTAAAGCTTTAAAAATAAATTATCTGGGAACAGTGCAATTAACCATGCCTTTGTGGCAACTTGGGCAAAAGATGCATTCGTTAACTTGGACTTTTAATTTCCTCATCTGAAAGCTAAAATTATTTCCTGACTCTGTTTTGACAAGGAAAGGAAGCTTTGGCAGCACTGAAACTCTGTTACGAGAAAAAACTCATTGCCGGATCACATTTTGCTTTTATTATCATTTGTTGTTAACCAGCTTTTAGGCTTGAAGATAAGAAAGTTAATTTTGACTAGTATTGAAGCAACTATTTTGAGAGACAACTTGGAAATCTGACTGATTTCAGAAGTTTTGTAGTCTTTAGAGCTCACAGATACTGCATAAATCCACTTGACACAATCAGGACAGTAGAAGTGAATGTCCTAAATTATTCCATTGGCTGTTCAGGAAAATTTGGCATGACCCCACTCAGCTCTCGTACTATGAAATACTATTTCTTTTGTTTTATAATACAGAAATGGAAGCATAATCAGGACACGACTCAAATTTACAGGTTGCCCGAGATGTAAGGAGAGGTTTCAATATCCTTTTGACTTAACCTTGAGTATAGCTTTCTTATAGGCCCCCTTCAGGTACGGGCTGCTATAAGGTCTCCCCAGAGCCTTCTCTTCTCCAGGCTGAACAGCCCCAATTCTCTGCTTGACTTCACAGCAGAGGTGCTCCAGCCCTCTGATCATCTTTGTGGTCCTCCTCTGGACCCGCTCCAGCAGCTCCATGTCCTTATGTTGGGAGCCCCAGAACTGGACGCAGTACTTCAGGTTGGGTCTCACCAGAAACGGGCAGAATCACCCTCCCTGCCGGTCATGCTTCTTTTGATGCAGCTCAGGATGCAGTTGGCCTTCTAGGCTGCAAGTGCACATTGGTGGCTATGTTAAGCTTCTTCTCAACCAACATCTCAAAGTCATTTTCTCATGTTTCGAGTTTTGCATTGTTATTTAACATTTCAGAGCCAAAAGTTCACTATTTATATTTTTTCCATTTTGCTGTAGGATGTCAGCTGTAACGAAATCACAGCTTTGCCACAGCAGATAGGCCAGCTGAAATCTTTAAAAGAACTGAATGTCAGAAGAAATTACCTCGAAGTTTTACCCCAAGGTAAAAACAAACAAAACATTCTAATACCTTTAGAGTGGCTCTTTTTATTAGCATTTTTAATCATGTAAGTAAATGTGATTAAAAAGTAATTACTTTGTGTTCAAACATATTTCATTAGAGTTTGCAGAATATAACATTCAGTTGTACTCACTAAATAACAGTGAGTGAGGTTTTTTTAATGATTTATCTTTGATTCTAGGCATCTTCTAAGTTGTACAAGTACCTACCTGTGAATGCAGTATGGGAACTGTCAGCTGAGTTTCAGGGGAAAAAAATATTTCAAAGTATTTATTTTAAAATTTATTGTAACTTGTATTACAGTAACACTCTTTGCATTTCCCAGTGTAGAACTGAGTGAATGTTGGTTGTATTCCTGCCTGAGTTTGTATTTTTTCCTGAATGTAAGGGAAGGTTTATTTAGAAATATTTAATTATTTTATAGCAAAAATGAATACAGATGTAACACATCTCTCTTTTTTTGTTACTTTTAGAACTAGTGCAGCTTCCCTTGGTAAAGTTTGACTTTTCCTGCAATAAAGTGCTAGTGATTCCGATTTGTTTTAGAAAAATGGTGCAGTTACAAGTATTGCTGCTTGAGAACAATCCTTTGCAGTCTCCACCAGCACAAGTAAGTAACATCTGTCATTTAAATTGTGCCTCAATATTGGGTGGATGTTAACAAATGATAGCTGATAAAATGTCACCCTCTGCAATTGCAGGCTTCTGAATGTCAGTTTTACTGATGGTCGTTGATGTATAAATAAGACACAGAAAGTATGTGTGTGAATATGAGTCTGTGCAGCACCAGCATGAGTCTAGAAGATATCCATTCTATTAGCTACCTGTTTGTTTTTGTCATTCCTATCTGCATATGAAACTTAATGTTGGAATATATATATAATTTCAAAAAATAAAATTGAGAAACTTTCTGGATAAATTTTATTGTAATTCTTTTGAGTAAAAAGCTCATTTGGACTTTTTAAAGTAGAATAAGTTATTTTTATGTTTTCAGTCTTACTCTCTGAGGGTATTTGTACTAGTACACAAATAATTGGATAATTGAGGTAGTTCTTAGTAATTTTTAAAAACAGAATAAAATCTCTTTTCCTTTACATGTTCTCTCTTGTGACGACATGAGTTGGTTTTCAGGGGGTTTTACATTAAGTGACATTTAGAATAATTTACTTCTTTCATTCTATTCAGAAACTTAACTTCTTTTTTTCTCCTCTCTAACAGATTTGTACAAAGGGTAAGGTGCATATATTCAAATATCTGACGGTCCAGGCCTGTCAGATTAAAACAGCAGACTCACTCTATCTTAATGCCATAGAACAACAGCATTTGCCACAACCCGTGGAAGAAAGGTATGTATAAAAATATCACTTTTTTTCATGTAGCACTTGTGAACAAAGTGAAATAAATAAATCTTTAGCTTCCAGTCTTTTGTTTGTTTAGATGCTATTTAGAGTGTGCTTTTTTTGATCAGAGATTTGTTTTGTTTTAGTGTATTTTATTCTAGCGAAATTCCCAGGAGTTTAGAAAAAATAGTTTTAACAATAAATTCTGATTAAAGTTAGCAGCACATTAGGAAGGGTCTTAGAAGTGAACCTTAGTTTAAATCTAACATCCTACTAGCAGACTACTGGAATATATTGACAGTAATTGAGATGGTAGTATCCTTCAGTGTTGGAACTTTCTTGTAAATCTATTGACACGTTAAATAGGTTTTAATTTCTTGTGTTGTTTTGTGATTTATATGTTGTTATATGTTTGTCGCATAGTTGTTTTAAGCTTTTTTAATTCATCCAAAGGCTTATTCATGGAGCAAAGAGAACTGCATGAATGTTGAGACCCTTTTAAAGTGAAATGTCCTAATTTGTTAGCAAAATTAATGGGAAAAAATCTTTACTGTCTTACATCAAACATCTAGGAAGTGCCATCTTGTTTAAGGACAGGAAATAGATATAAAGCAGCTTCTTTTTTATAAGAATCTCCATAGCTAATTAGAAACCAGTTTTTAGCCAGCTCTTTCTTCGCTGACATGGGAAGTATAATATAAACAATCGAAGTAATTACGATAATGCTTTATTTTTTGAAAGATGTACTCAATAAAGACGAAGTGCTGATGTAAATAAAAGCAGAGATATTGCTGCTAACACCCTGGAAAAAAAAAATGTTATGGAACCTTCCGGTCAGTTCTAGATAAGGTTTCAAGTAAACTGTTTTCCTCTATGTATGGAGACAACTTTGTGGATTTCTATGAGAGAAATGCCACAGGTGGGAGGAATCCAGGATGAAGAGCAAGTTTTTTGGGAAATGCCTTCTGGTTTTTTGTTTTGTTCTTTTAGTATACAGGAAAATTGACAGGAATGTCATGTCCTGTATGACTTTTTGATCATATAGATTAGGGTAAGGGGACAGTGCAGAGTAGTTACCAGTTGGTAGCTAACAACCTAATGCTCTTTCGCATAATAATTACAAAATTCTTGTTTTGGAGAATAACTTCACATTTCTAAAGAAATAGCAAAACCTGGTTAAATTTTCATATGCAATTTCTACACAAAATCCATAGTGTTTACGGATAAGAGATAATTTAAGATTAGGATTAATCAGATATCTTATTCATGTGAAAATTGATAAAATTCTTTTTTAAATTGCTATCCCAGTCTGAATTCAGGATTACAGCTTTCAGGATTGCAAATGGAAGGATAATAAAGTAAGGCTATGAGTATACCGCATCTAATAGTGTACTTTAAAATAAGTAGAGGTCATACTAGGTAATGAAACCAGATGAGAGAGCAGTTGGTAGTTTTCTCAAAAACCTACATTTCAAAGTCTATTTTAAAGCACCAAAAGAAGGTTTCTGTGTTAATAACTGCTTCAAGCCACAGGGAAATGTAAGTTCATTTTTAATGCCTCAATGGTTACAATTAAGTCGGTTGGCTCCACTTTGAGTTCAACTTTTTTAGTTGCTTTTCCCATGGCTAAATTACTTCAATTGGACTCCTGTGCTACTTAGCTTGTAACTAAGCATTTTTACCTAGTAGATAGCTAAAAGCAAACTATATAGGAGATTATTTATGTTGTCTTTGTTAATCATTAGGCTAATCAGCTATTCCATCCGATCTGTTTTACCATGCCAGACTGCAAAAGTGTATTTTTTTAACCATACTAGGTTATTTCACTCTGCCATGGAGAATGGTTGGGATTTTGCTTTGATTTAAGTTAAACCAGGACAGAATTCTAATGGTAAATACTATAATAGCTTTTTTTTTGTTCCCCGCCACATCTAGCATTGATGATATCTACCCAAGTAAAAAGGACTCAGATTCAGGTGTTGGTAGTGATAATGGCGATAAACGTTTATCAGCAACAGAGGTAAGTTGCCTCAATTTTGTGTCTAGCTCCCTTTCCCTCCACACCTGTATTTTGACTGTATTTTAAGTTGGGTATCAATGTGAATATGTTTTTAGTCATAAAATCTGTGCAAACACATCCTTGGTGTGAATTTCTAAGAAATGGCTAAAACAAAGATAAAAGGAGGCTGGGTTTTGGTGGGTTTTGTTTTGTTATATTGTCTGTACACTTTCTGGCAGTGAGATACTTCCTTACAAATGGTCAACAACCTACCAAAAGTGAAAATTGACTACAGTTTTCAGACAGTTTACATAATCTAGAGAATGAGGACCAAACCAGAATTCACATCTGCTCTTACCAGTGAAACAAATGTCTTAACAGGGTATATGCTTGGCTGCTTCGTACTTCTTTTTTCTCTGACTGATGACGCTTCCCTGTTAGGAATTAGCAGTAGTTAATGACAAATAAAAAAATAATTTGCAATATAATTCAGTGATTATCTTCCTGAAATTTACAAATAGTGGGATTTGTGGTCTGACCTAATGGGAAATATTCAGGTCACAATAAAAGAATGGGCTTCTTGCTACTTGAAATATTTTTAGACTGACTCTTTAATGCTTCTCTCCTTTGAGAAAAAGAGGTTCTGTTGCTCTTGAAAGAAATGTATGAAGAAACAACCTTAGGTACTAAATTCATAGTTAATAAAAAGCAAATTGAAAATGAATCCACTTCCACACTGATTGGTCTTTCAAATACAAAAGCATTTAAGAAACAACCCACAGGGATTTTCAAGTATTTGGGTAAGTTTCTTGCTAGATGGAAATGAAGCAGAATTATCATGATTTCTAGCCAGAGTTCTAATACTTTCCCTCTTGTAGTGTAAGAGCATGCAGTCCGTTCAGAGATGCTTACAAACTGTTTTGCCATTCTTACGCTTCCTGAAGCTGAGTTAGCTTGTTAATGAAACTGTTATTCCAGAATTTCCTCTTTAGCTATAAATAACAGAAAATAATCTTTCCTGTAATCAAAACGTAGCGATCAGAGTGCTGCAAAAAATTGTTTTAAAGACAACCAACAGCGAACCAATAACTTTTTATTAGCACAAAGGCTTTTTGTATGAGAACTATTTACTCATTCCAACCCTGCCTGACTGCTGCTCTACTACTAAGGAGAAAATAGATCAGTAATCCCAAATGTATTTGGTAGTAAATTCATCACTCACTTTTCTTTGTGAGGTGACCTTTAATGCCTGTGTTATAGATGAGAATTGTACAAGAAATACTAGCATGTTGTGAAAACAATTCATGTTCATTGTTAATCACTACATACCAAACATCAGATGTCAGAGATTGGTATGTTAGGCATTTTTGGTTCTTATGTGTTTAGTCTCATCTTCTGTTGCCAGCTGAATAAAAATAAAACTGTGTATGAGGGAAGTGAGATACAGTAGTTCACCTATGAAGAAGCAATACTTTTGTATTGCAAACTACTTTGGGTAGTTTCTATTTCATACTCTACTGCAGGAAGCACCTGGAAAATCGGCTGTAGAATTCTGTAGGCCCTGAAAGTGTCACACAGCCTGTTAAAGGAACGATTTTCTCTTTCCAAGTTGAATAGCCCATGGATATTTTTTTACACCAGCAGTGCAAAATGTTGTCCTTAAAGCTGCATGTGGTACTCTGCTGATTAGGTCTTGCCGCTTTTAATATTCCAGACTTGTAATAATGCATATAAGAACATACTAATATAAAATTTTCAAACTATAGTTGCGTAATTAACAAAACATGAATCTTTGAACTGCAATAACTAAATTTAGTTTTTAAATGTCACATGAAATCCAACCTGAAAGAAAGAGAAGGAACTTCACTGTAACCTTGGTTGTCTGAATGAATTTGTATTGTGCATGTCTGTTTTTTGTTTTTTTTAAACCTTTGGATTGTCATTGTTTCAGGTCTAAAAGAGCTAGTGAATTTTGTGCACACTGGAACCATGGTTTATTTTCTGTTGAGATACTGTTTTTTAATTTTAAAAGAAATTTTATTTAAAATATAAGACTTATTTTTAAATAGGAACAGTACTACAATGTTAGTTCACTTCATTATAAAGCCCCATAACCTTGATAAAGCTTTATCAAGGATTCCTCAGTATCCTTTTGATTTTTTTATCTTTCAGCAAAAGAATACAGCCAGTGAATTCATAGAGTTAATAACATATGGTTTAGTCATAAAGAAGCATATTTTTGCTGGTCGACACTTACAGAATGTGTTAAGTCCAGGGTATTCTTGGCAAATAAGAATAACCACATATATCTTTGATACAATATTTTAAAAACAATGCAGATTTGCTCTGTTCCTTATCACAAACCTTAGCTTCAAGATTTAAAAAAAATATTTTTTGCATGAAATATGACCATCTAAAGGTAGCAAGAATTGCATAATTCTACTGGAAGCTTCCTACTATTGAATTGAATAACTGGTTGTATGTAATAATCTCCCATTAATAAACAAAGAAATACAATTTCCTTAAAAATTATTATATATGTATTATAGCAGTTACAATTACAGAATACATGTATGGAGTATGTATGCACAGAGTAGTGAGTTAGAGAAACACAGAGCATCTAAAGAATGAGCAACACCAGTGGGTTTGCTGCGAAATAGATTTGTAAAACTCTGAGAGCCTGTTCAAGTAGTAAGCTCTCTATCTCAGGAAAGCAAGAATAAAAATTTGGCCTGGAAACTGTGTGTTTCACAGAACCATAGAATCATTTAGGTTGGAAACGATCTTTAAGATCGTTGAGTCCAACCTTTACCCTAACACTGCCAAGACGACCACTAAACAATGTCCTTAGGTGCCACTTATACTCATCTATATATCTTTTAAATACCTCCAGGGATGGTGTTACTGCAAGGAGAGGTTTAATGCAGTGAGGAAGGTAGGAAAAGATAACAGATGAGTTGGGAAGCCTACTGTGAGAATGTATTCACTGTGATTACAGCTTCCTACAGCAGGATCTGATCATGTTCGGTGCTCCGGTATCCTTTCCCATATTAGTTTGCTGCTCTTTAGTGTTCACTGTTCTTAATACATATGTTTTTATCAGAGTTGGTTTGAGCTGAAACAAGTATTTATCTTATTTCTTCTTAGCCATCTGATGAAGATACTATCAGCTTTAACGTTCCAATGTCTGACATTGTGGAAGAAGATCAGATTGTAAAGGAAGATCCAGGTCACCATGCTAACTCAAGAAAAGGTTGGAATGTAAAAAAAGCAGAAGTTGAATACAGGGAATTTCTGTCAGTAACTCTTTGTATAAGACTAAATTCAGTTTGCAAAAATCGCAGCCCAGCAAGCATCAATCTTGGACAAAAGCAGGGTCCATTTCTGTAGTTGGACTTAAGGCATAGATAAAGCTTTATTATTCAAATTCAGCATTTCTCCTGGAAAGAAATACATCTCTTTTTTGAGAGAAAGTGTAATTTTATCTTTTATTAAAATAGCTTATATTTTCCTAAATTATATCTGCATACTGATAAAGTGTTTCTCCAAGGTCTGCATGCACTAATGATAAATTGCAGGGTGAACTCAGTAAGCTGCCTATAGAAACGACATTAAAAAAAATCATGTGTCTTTCCCCAATGTTTAATACCAAATTAAATTAACTTCAATGGAGATACTCATCAGAATTTAGTAGAATGCTCAGTGAGATTGTAAAAGCATTACATCCTCCCTACAGTGTTTTATTGGTACACTGGAGAGGATAAATTATAGTATGAGACCACTTCAAGCAGAGGAAAAAGTTACTACTGCCTCATACTCCTGAAAGTAGTGTATGTAAGCAAGAGATTGGCATAGGCTCTGATGGCTATGCATCATTCTGTTTGAGTTCTGCTGAGAGTTTGTTTGTTGTAGTATAGTAACTCTGAAGTTGCATTAAACTGCAAGTCATTGGCTGACATCTGAATGTCCTAAAGTACTCTCTAAGCTGTCAACTGTGTTCTTGTACTGGTACCAGCAAGACACATTTGGTGTAGTTCAAAACTGTCTCCATCAGTACTTCTTGTTGTGCTTCTGATCTGCAACTGTATGAGCCCAGGGTATTGCTTTATTGTAACTTTGAAATTAATAGGCATCGCTTCCTAGAATGTGAAAGTCTTGTTTGAGGTTTTTAATATGCTTTGAATTTAAAGTTGCTTGTTTTTGAGCTCTGCAATTAAATACACTTAAATTGTGTTGAGTAACAACTGTTGAGCTGAACCAGAAATCACTCTTGTATCTTTTTTATTGTTGTTATTAGTGGACTTCCATCAGGGACCTTCTCACTTGATTGTCAGTGACAAGTCAAGAGATACAGGAAACCAGTTCGATGAATCGGATACTCTTACTACTGAATTTATGAGTTACATTAAGGCAAGTTTGTGACAATTTTAAATGGGGGAGAAATATCTTCACTACTTTCATAAGCGTAGAGCAAGCAGGCATGACAAGCTGCAGACATCTTAATGAATAAGAGACCGCGATTGATATTCATTGACATAAAAAAATACAGAAGGCAAAAATAAGCAGGTAGGTTTAAAGTGATTGTAACTAATCTAGGAGGTCAGTTTATCCATAACACTTTTTCTAGTATATGTGAGAGTTACATAAGTAAAATGCAAGAAGAATTTCAGAGTTAGCTGTTTATTTTAGGTTGTATTTTCCCCATTCGTATTGTCACTTCCTCATTTTTTTAGTAGTCTAGTGGAATATGTCTAGACGTGTCTGAGAAAGCTGCAATAGCATCCATAGGAATGTTCTCCAATCATTAGTTATTCCTG